TATTTCGTGCTGGCACTATGACATCCGAATAAACTTTGAAGACGTAAAAAATGCCTCATTAACACCAGAACATCTCCCCAATTCTTTCCCTCCACGTCAGACAGTAGGATGAGTAAATCAAACAAGGCAGGTTGAAATGTGCGCAAGGGTGAGTGAATTCGACGCAGTAGGAGGACAGGAATGTCTGTTAGTACACTCCGGAGCGCGAATATAAAAATGTAGGTGAATAAAAATTGCGGTATTTCAAGAGGAGTTTAATCCAAATGTTAGGCCATTGTGACATTTAGAGACCTGTTGAGTTGGCTTTTTGGTTTGCGGTGGATACATAACCGCATGTTTGCAGGAACTGTAAACCCCATTTTCACGTCAACGGGGGTTTAGGTAATTCTCCCCCAAACAGTTAAATTTCACTACTGAGGAGCAGATGTGACGCCTTCATGGTTGCTATTAATGGAGGCCCGACTTATGCCAGTGTCTGCGCCAACAAACTCATTCATCAATAATGGGACGGTATTTATACCTTTCCTGGAAGTTCACGATCTATCAGAAAGGGCATTTGCTCGTTCCTTGGATTATTTTACACGGCCGAGTTAGCCCATTATTTAATGGACTGCTTCGTTGACCTTTCCTAAATAGATACAGCTACTTTATTAGCTGTTTTTTTTATTCAAGATTGTGTGCCACATCGTGTCGGAGATTCTGAAAAGCCAACACGCATTTTTCAGGTGGTCTACAACCGGATTAGCCTTAGCGTACCTACTAACAGACAGCAGCGAGGACTGGACACGATGGGTGTGTTATTAGGTAACCAGACTCTCGGTTTTGCCGCAGATACACGGGAGGAGGCGGCACTCAAGTAAGGCAGAAACTTCCCATTTTATGTAAAAGGGACAGAAACTGGATTTATTTTCCCATACAGTTCTCTGCTCCGTTCTTACACTTATCGTATATTTTAGCCAACAACTTGAAAACCTTGACATCGACAGCTGGATCATTCTAAGACAACCAGGCTCCACATTGTTGTCTTTAAGAAGGCGCAAATGCCTTTGAATAGTTGCTTTCATCACTACCACGGAAAGCCTCTTTTTTTGGGCATTTTCACTGTGGTTTGTGGAAGCGGCCACTTCAAGAATGACTGCAAACCAAACCCCTGGTCGCCAATAACAGACATTTACCCATCTTTTTAATACTAATATAATTTTCATCTCTTGCTGCTATTGAGCGACCCAACACCGCACCACTTTGCGTATGAAGTCTTCTGCTTTAAATAATATCCCATTATCTGAAGAAACGGAATACGATTTGTCTTTAACATATTTGCCGATTGTATCAAATAGGCTACACTCATCACTTATAACTGCGTACTGTGCCTCCAAAATAGCCGGTCATTTCATAGATGGAAAAATACTGCTTCTGTATATTGCATAAGAGGAATCGATCCAGGACCTGAATTTAAGGTTTGATAACCGTCACTAATGACTAGATGTAGTGCCAAGATCTTGGAGGAAAAAAATTGAAAAAACATCGTTAATTAGGCAAAAAATTTGTCCTCTAAACGGCGTGACTCATGTTTTTGGAGAAAGTGACCTCACAAGCGAGACTAGAATCCCTTTTTTTGTGAAACAAAAAATTTTCATGATAAAAGAACTTCAGGTAATAATGATCCAGAGAGATGTTTTGTTTCTTTGCCCCATAATGTAATCGGCGCATCTGTTACTTTGGCATTTAGGGATGGGAAAGGAGCAAATTCACAGGGAAGAGACATGAATGATGACTACACCTGTGCTATGGCTTGTGGAGGAGTG